AAGCTACCTGGCTATCTAATGCAAGTCTTGAAACTTAATTGTGGGGGAAAAGGAAAGAAATATGTCTCCAAAAGCCTTGGCCACAGAAGAGCAGGCTTGTATGCTTCTGCTGAATCTAGTCGAGTCAATTGAGGTTTTTTTAGGAGACAAATCCTTTAAAAAGGAATCCTTGGAAGTCAATTAGACCTCACTTTATGAAGGTCAGCGTTTGGAACATATTTCTTCACGAGCTCAATGTTTATGTTTACATAGAAAGGAGAGTTTGATGTCTAACTACCCTACAAACAAAGCTGCATATTGCATTGTTAGCCAACCTGGGAGGGAAAAATTCCAAGCTCCTGTGACAAGAGAAAAGCACAACAGCTCCAACCCTTACAGAACATCCAGGTGCAGCCTAAGCTGATGCACACGGTAGTTTACAAGGGTATAGTTGGTTTTGAAACTCATTACACTCAAACTGAGCTACTTAAATTGTCTGCCTTAAGATGTGTTTTCCATAATCGATTATACCCCAGCCTGCCTAAGACCAACCGTTCAACGCTCCTGAAAACAATCCCTTCCCACGCTACAATTGACTGGGATTTTTGTCCTAGAAAGTGGACATTTGAAATGTTAGCAACTGTTTGGTTTACCAATGCAATAAAAGTCTCGACCTGAAACATGCAGCTCACTGAATGAATGCATTAGACTCAATATATGGTATCTTCAGGTGTACGTTGGGGTGCTTTACCAAGTTGTTTTGGTTTTTCTTTTTTTTTTTTTTTCATTAGAATTAGACCTTGATTTAAAATCAAAGTCGGCTTGAAGCCCCTTTGCTTAACTCACTGTTGCACAACAAGCCAGTAAATTGCTGATGTTTTAACTCCAAGCTAACAGGACTCCCTCCAGCATGGATACTACTATGAAAATATCATCTTAATTGATAGTAACCCATCTCGCCAGCTGGGCACCGTAGTTAGGATAGGCTGAGTATAAGCAATTTTAGCATTTTCATCCAAGTGCTTTTGATGATTGAAAAAAAAAAAAATTAGCTGTTCAAAATATTTAGGAATGCTGTCATCTAACAACCTCATGGCTGCAGCATATACATCAAGCAGTCAGGGTCTTTAAGCTTTCTTTGATTGCAATTAAGGTTCATTTTAGCTTTTTCTTTTTCCTTTTTTTTTCTTTTTTTTTTTTTTTTTAAGCCAGTGTGCCATCTTCTCTAATCTGTACATAAAGTTTGCTAGCCAATTTTAAAGAAAAGGCATTTAAAGGACATTAAAAAGTAAGTGAACACGTAGCATTTTAAGTAATTTCTTCTGAAAAGAGTTTGGCTTCTATAGATTGCTAATCTGTAGTAATTAACACATTTATTTTTCTTAAATCTATAGCTAAAAGTATCCCTCTCCATTTTAGTACTATCAGAGTACTGAAATGCAAAACCCAAGCCAGTTTTGTGGCTTTTGTGGCCAGAATTCTGGCAAAACAAGTGTATCCAACTTTTCCTTTATAAAAGTATAACCAAACCAGGGCTCTATTGGTGGGTTTCTTATTGTTCTACAATTTTCCCCCCCCCTCTAAATTTATGCATTTGCCATAAGCCCGAGCAGTATTTTAAGCCAGAGAGAAGAAAGGAACCAGCCCTTTTGCTTAAAAAGTGGGGTAATGGGACAAAAAGTGATGTTACCAAACTTTCTTGATGCTGACAGCTTTGAAGCTTTCAAACATTCAATAAATTATAACAATGTACCTAATAGGTTCCTCCTGAGAATACAGGTACATCCCGGAGAGCACCATCCCCCACAGTCCATCTCCATTCCGGGTCACCTACGTCACCTATGGGTTCTGGTAGTCCCGGGAGAGGCAGGGATATGTCCTCGAAAAAGAAAAAGGGGCTGCTTTCCAAAGGCAAGAAACTGCTGAAAAAGCTTGGTGCAGTGAAATGATTCATGTGCTGCTCCTGGACAACTTGTAAAAGCTTCCAGTCTGTGTATTTTAATTTTTTTTTCTTTAATTTTTTTTTTTTTTTCTAAAGTCAAAACTAGGGCTTTCATGACTATGCAGTACAACTTTACCAAACCTCTCTGCATTTTTAACTCTGACATCAATAGAATCATGTGAATTGCTTAATCAAAACAGCAAGAAAAAAAAAAAAAGGAAGTGGATGTGTTGTTGCAAAAACTTTTTTTTAAAAAAAATAAAAAATTTCGTGGGCTTAAGAGCAGAAGAACGTGGTTTTATTTGAAGTCAACTCAACACCTGCAACTCCACTGGAAAAAATCTCAGCCTTTTTAGCCTCCTCTACCCACAAGTGGTGGGAAGAAAACTCACCCCACTGCAACTAATCATTAACAAAAATGGTCTTGAAACTCCTAGTTTAATCAGCCTTGATGTTTTGCCTTATTAATGCACAATGATTTGTACTGTCTAATAAATATACAGCGTATACTTTGTATGTACTGTGTATTCAACTGTCTTCATCTTCCCTAAAACATGGTAATTTAAGATCAAGTACTATGTTACTGACTCCATTCACTGTCTGATGTAACTCCTGGGAGTTTGAAAGTGCTGTGCTAAACGCTTTTTTCTTTTTTTTAGTTTTTTTTTTTTAGTTTTTGCTTCTTTATTTCCCCCCACCTCCAAAAACCAAAACCTTGTATTGGCTTATTCTGTCAACTTATTTTCACTCCACTGAAATCAGATACAGTGTAAGTTATTCAGAACCTCAGCCAGAATTTCAACCATTCAACCTCCAGTTTTGGGGTTCCTGGTTTACTGTTCTAAACTACTGGGAAAATTAAAAAACAAACTAACAAACAAACAAAACAACAAAACAACTCCACACCAAAACCCCTTTACTCCCCCATTAATTTTTTTTCTGTGGAGGTACAGTTCTAAGTTAAAAGGCATTTTCATATTGCTGATGTCAGATTCAGGATAAAGTACATGTTTAAAGTAAAAAGGACAAACTGTGTTGCAGTCACAGGCCACAGCCAGTAATGAGGCTGCAAGAGGCTCTAATCAAATCTTAATTGTGATATTGGCATATCAAGACAAACAATCTTACACACTGATGGCAGTCATTGGCTGTTACTATTTTGTAATTCTTGTCCATTTGTAAATTGTTTTTACTGTTTATACATACTTTTCAGACTGCCTTTCTTTTTGTAATTTATGGAAGGTTTATAAATGAATGATCAAAGCTTCCCCATTGTGTCTTCAGATAATAATGTAAATTACTGTAAGATACCGTGTGCTAGATTATAACATTTAATTAAAGAAAATAACTGGCCTAAAGTTGTGGTAAAGTACTGTGTGGGTGTGTGCATGTGTACAATTGTTGTGTATTATATTTTATATAAATAAATAATTTGATATTTTGTAGAGTGCAGTACGTTTCATAAATCTGCTGTAGCAGCTGCTTGGTTGCTGTGCCAGCCTTCTCTCCCTCCCTCCTGGCCCTGGCACCCCTGGTCAGATCCCAGGTGCCCAGGGAGCCAAGGACAAACACATGGCCATGGTGCAAGTCACCCCTTCAAACACTGCACCAAAGAAAAAGAGCAGCCCCCAGTGACCATCTCCTACCTTTCTGCAGCTGCACAAGGTCCTTCTCAAGTGACCTCAAATGAAAAAAAAAAAAAAAATGGATCAGAAGGAATATCTGTGACAGGAGTAAGTAAGTGGTATGTAACCAGCAAGAAATACAAAATACTAAGTAGTGGATAGAGTAGGCTACCACTGTATGACATCAGAAACACAAAACTATTTGCCCAAAAAACCCTCTGCATCTCTTCACTACAAATTTCATGTGGAAGGAGTTGGCAGAGTTCTCTCAGCCTAGGAAAGGAAAAAACCTCAACTGAATACAAGTCATAGAATTCTCATTTTTCAGAATTGTCAACAGTTAGTTTACTGTAGAATAAAGAAAGGCTCATCTACATGCAAGACTGCAAGAGCTTTCCAGAGACAAAAAGTGCTTGCAAAGCTATGTGGCAATTGTCCCATCTATGCCCAAAGCCCACTGCTGAAGTACATAAGCAAATACATAAAACAGAATCAAACAAGCAAGGAATTACAACAACAAGTTTATTTAAATCTCACAAAGAACAGGAACAAGCTTCACAACAACTTGGTTAGGAAAATCAGCACTAATCCATATTTTTCCATGTGTGCTATTTTGACTCTGGTATAAACTCTGAAATCCACTTCCATCCACACAACTTCTTGCTTTACAAACTGAGCTGCTGCTGCTGCTCAACAGTTACCAGGGAAAACCTCAGACATGCAAAACAAATCAAGGCCACTGCCCAGTGCTTGGAACTACAAAAACAAAAAACTCCCTGAACCTGGTCAGTGCACTGACACTCAGATGGAAGTTAATATTCACATTTAACAAGCATGTGGTTAAATAGTATCAGTCCAGAAGTTTAATTCCTTTCAGTGATGACAGTGGGAGGAAACTGCTGTAGACAACTGCACAGTGAACATGAAGTTACAAGACTAAGAGAAAGGACTTCGATGGGATAGTCCATTCTAAGTCTCACAGCTGTTCCAACAGCATCCAAGCCATCCCTTTTTGTGGAGAGAACAGTGTAGTCTTGGATAATAAAGGTGCTCCAACAGCTGTGGTAAGGGACAGAGATCATTTTGCCTTTGCCAGTCAGTCGTGTAACTCTGGCATCCACAGCACTTCTTCCTCAGCTGAGCCAGTGTGAAAAAGCCCCACTTCACTCCCCTCTGCTCCCAGGGAGACTCCAGACAGTTTCTAGTTGGTTTGCAAATCCTTCCCCCAGTGGCAGCCTTAAACCAAGAACATCTTACAGCCTCTTTGTAAGGTATAAAACAGTTTAGGAAACAAAATTTGGCCCTCATTTTAACAGGCAAGAAAAACAAGGAATCAACAGTTTTGAAGCATTTTGAAAATTAAAGTGTAACATACTAGCTGAAAAAGTTTGGATTTTGTTCTGCATAACACTCTCTCTTAATTACACAGAAGTAATTTTGGGTAAGACTTCCAAAAAAAAACAAAACAAAACAAAACTAAGTTCCATAACTGCACGTATTATCCCATGTTTATGTCTTTTAAGAAAAAACAAAACTGAAAACCAAAACCTTAGACAATTCTGTGTTCCTTGGAGAAGAAGGCTGATAACTCAACTTCAAAGATAGTAAAGTCTGTCTGAAAGCATCAGATTTGGTTCTCTGTGAATGCTCTGACCGACAAGGAAAGCCAGTTTATGAGCATACTGGCAAGGAGCAGGTACTCTGATAACACCCTGCAGAAAGGGGAAAAAAGAGAGGCAATTATTTTCAAGTAATTTCAATAAGCATGTGTTCACTGTAACAGACACCCCTGGAGTTCCAAAGTATGTGCATACATGGAAAAGTTTATATTCCCTGTTGTTTATGCTGGTTTCTGAAAAATAACATTATATACACTGAACACGTAACAGAAGAACAGATGCAAGAAAACCCAAATTTCCCAACTCCATTCCTCTCCTCACTCCAAAAAAAATCCTTTTACATTCAATACTGGGTCTTGCAGAAGGTGGGACATGGGTTAAGTCAGGCTTAATAGTTGGGATTGTTAAGTTGACAAATCTGAAGCACACCTCAGGCACAAGCTGACTGTGTGCTGATCTTGGTGTGCATCAGAAGCCTCAAGGGAAGTGGAGGAACATAATTCTACCTCCACATAAAGCAGGAAGTATTTCTGCAGGTCAGAAACAGTAACTTCAAGTTTGCTTTTGACACAGAATTTGGAAATAATAATCAAAATAGCAAGTATTTTCTAGTGAGAATAAAGATTAGTCTTCAGAGAGATCAGGTGATTTATAAAGCATCTAGTTCTCAACCAACCACTCTAGGTCCCAAGGCACACCCTGCAGGCTTTTTAGATCTGCATGGGTGTTTCAAGGATACTTGTTTCCACCTTCTTGTGGGTTGTAACTGCACGGAGATGCACAATCTTTGAAGAAAAATATTATCATTTCCCAGAGGAAACACTTACCGACCAGTTATAGTACATGTGGCAGAGTTTGTAGGTCAACCTCTGCAAGTGATCTGGTTTCAGCTGGCTGCCATCATAAATGACATTGTAATGAGTGGGTGTGACACAACCATTTTTCACTGTATGGCTCACAACAAAGAAATCATACCTGTAACAGGAAAAGCAAAATCTGTTACAGAAAGGACTGCATTTCTGTAAGGACAGTTGGGCAATCCTGTCAATACACACTCATTTGGAACTAAACCTTTAACAATCAAAACAAGAAACACTAAAAAGTGAAACACATGCACTTGAAATGTATGCAATACTCTGATGTATACAAACAGTGCATATTGAAACCCACGAAATACTGCATAATACATTTGTAAAATATAAGCTTATCCATTTCTTTCATCTACCAATTCACTATGATCTCTTTCCAAAAGGACAGAATTGTGCAAAGTCATTTTCTACTTGATCCCACAGCCCATTTAATGTATATTAATATATTTCCTTTACTATAAAGCTGCCAGCAAAAGGACTAAGTGTTACTTCTACAGTAACTTACCACTCTGGTCTGGTAATCACTGTATCAACAACAGTGCCAGGGGGTGGGTTTTTAAGTCCTCCACCAACCTCTGCAAAGAACCTGGCACCCACTCGTTTCTTCACAACGATCACAGTAAGTCTTGGACTAAAATAAAGGAAAAAACCCAACAGCTATCGTGAAAAACTGCACTATGAGTACATCAGGAACAGATTCTCTAGACCCCAGGGCATTAATTCCACAAAGAAGTCCTCATTAATTCACTGATTTAGATTAAATGACAGTTTTCATAAATTTGGATTTTTAGTTTAGATGCAACTCTGATACTATTTCTCACCAATTCCATTTAAATATTTAACTTCATAGGGAGGCAGAAAAACAGACCAAAAAGAGATAATCTAAATAGAGATCAGATTTCTATTCTCTACCCCACCATTTCATACAGAAAACACTGCCTTAATGGCTTGCTCTTTATCAAAAATGCTGTTAACAGAAACTAAAGAGAAGAAATAAGCACCTCAATTCCTCCGAGCTGCGACTTCTTTCAGACTCTACTTTCCTGCAGTGTAAGGAAACATGTTCATTTTTCAGAGCAGGTTAAGTCACTGCTGTTAAGGTTAAAAGCAGAATGTTGAAAACTGTGCAGAATATAAATCACTGGACAACATAGTCCTTTCAGAAGTGGAAAGAAAAAAAAAATGGACTTACCACGTAAGAGTCATCAGGCTATGATCAACCTTTGGAAATGCTTTGGAAAAAAGCATTAATTACCATATCCATCAAGAATGCCTAAGGAGTGTATGTGCATACATGTGTATTGCAGTCATGTGGTGTAATGTAATAGGAAAATTCTTAGTACATGTATGTCAGGTGTCTGAAATCATGTAAACAATCATCAGAAGGGCAGTTATTTGAGCTCAAGTAAAAATAAGTACGGATAGAAAGACAACACAATCTTCATCCATAACCTCGTTTTGTATCCCAGGGCTAATTTCTCTTGCAGTATAAACAAGAGGGGTGGTGGAAACAGATTTACCTGTAGAAAGAACCGATGCTCTTCAAGCAATCCAGGAATTGAGGCACTTCATAATTAACCAGAGTATTTAGCTGGCCATCTCCAACACCATCACGGTACACAAAGATACGAGAGGGCAAACACTTATTCCACTTGAACCAGTTTCTTAGAGCAGCTTAAAAAAAAAAACAAACAAAAAAATCTCAAGAGTAAAAGCTGCTAGCTGTAACGAAAATTTATTCCAAAGCAAAAAATGGATTTTTATTCCTAGAAGAACAGCAGTAAGTTTGAAAACTAAGGTCCTCAATCTTTCAGTCACCTGAAACAGGTGAGCATCATGTTACACAAATATTGCCTGCAAAAAAGAACTCTGTGTACTGACGCAAAAAGATAGAACCTAAGGAGACTCTCTGCTCCACTGGCCTCCCTCACAGCAGGGAGCTGTCCTCCTTTACATCCAACTCTGCCAAAACATTCTTTGAAGTTCACTGAGAAGTAATTTGTAATTATTGCAAAGAAATACTGGAATCAATGAAAGACTGGACACGAAATGCTATTATTATTAGTTTTCAGCAATATTTACAACTGTATTTTTAATCTGTTTCTATGCAAGTGCAAGCTGGTCGCACCTCCCCTCAAGGCAGCAGGGGAGGTGTGTTTTGAGGATCTGACTCCACAAGAGCAGAACTCCTTCCCTTACTTTGCAAGCAGGCTTTGATTCCATCCACAAGTTCTTGCCCACGACTTTGAACAACGCAGCGGGAGAACCACCTGTGAAGAACAAAATAAAAGACCTTCAAAGCATTTCCTAGGCTTCATTCAATGAAGTTATTTTTAAAATGCCTATAACCAGTTAGTCTTTATGGGTGTTGTGGGTCAGTGCAGCCAAGGAGGAGTTATATGAGAATATTTCCCCCATGGTAAAAGTGCCTTAGCACCACTTGAAATCCCTCTCAATCAAAAATAACATTCACACAAGTCAACTGAAAAGGAGAAAGAGCCTGTCACATGCTGATGCCCTCTATTCCATGCACTATGGAAGAAGGACAAGGCTACTCCTTTAAGAGAATGCAGTGGAAAAACTAATTCACAATATATTTCTCATTAACAATGTACAGTAAACCAATTTGGATGTTCTCCTGGTGGCCCTCCACATTCAAGGCACTTTTCAGTCAAGGAAAAGGTCCTTCTTTTATTTTTCTCATTTTTCTGCCTTTGGCAAACCTTACCTTGTCATTGTTTGATTCAGGCTAGAGACAAATCCTGCCACTGACTGCCTTCCAGTTACAGTGTCATGGTAACAATCAATTCCCACAATCATCACCTGCTTCAGCTTAAAAGAAATCAATACAGAACATGTATTAGTACATGAAGACGTGCTGTAAGGTAACAAGATCATGACACAAGCTCTATGGTTTCAGGACACTTAAGTAATCCATGGGTACTGAATTCTTGGATTAAGCATCTCCCTAGGTTAGATTTAAATTCATGCCTCTTCTCACAGGCATAGAAGCTACTCAAAGAACACTCAATTTTACTTCTCGGGGGAAAAGGCTTGCTTTTTAAGTGAAGCTCAGAAAAAGAGTTACTAATTTAAAAAATAAAAATAATCACTCACTGGGATCTCAACACTCCAGAGTTCTCCACCCATTTTGCAGTTCATTTGCAGGGCGATTTTTGTTGCAACAGTCATAATTGTCTGATGTTTGCTTAAAGTGCGAGCAAGCACACACTGACTTGGGATGGGGCAATCTGTGCATAAATATTTCTTGATGGCATCATATTTATCTTTTCGGGCACTGGACAAGATACAAACCACCTTTAAAGAAAAAAAAATGCTTTGTAAGAAGTTGCATTCTAAGATTTACAGAGCATTTCGGAGTTCTTTAGGAAAAGTTTTACCCTCAAGAGAAATAACTCAAGTGTTCACAGTGAAAGAAGTAACTGTAAAGTTTCAGTGTCTGTGCATCAGAGCTAAGTATAAAGGCTCTTATCCAGAAGGGTACTCATAGTTAGCCTTGGATTTGAACAGGAGTATGATTAGCCATCTAGTGGATTCTCAGGAGTCAAGAGCAGTATTTCTGAAGACAAATCCCACTAGTCTTAAAATACCAATTACAGAGATTAACATGATTTGAAATTATGGATTCAGTTACATACTATGTTTGTGTCAGGGGTAACCCTTTGCTGTAAAACCCTTAAGTAAGCTTCTGTTCTGTCATCTACTTCAATCCTGAAAAGAAAGAGAAAAAATGCTTACAGAAAAAAAAACAAAAACCAATTAACACCTACTAAAACTTCAGAAAAAAACCCAACAGCTATTGAAACTACTTATGCACAAGCATAAAAGCCCACTGTACATCAGTACTGTATTGTCACATTTACAGCTATTAATAACCATATAATATTCACACATTTTGGAGATGAAGAGGAATCACCCCAACCTTAGGCTTCCAAACACAATGAAATTCAAAGTTAAAGGCAAGCACAGGTACTCAAAGGAGGATATTTGTAACAAGAATACATATTCCTTCTTTTGTTAAATATGGCTCTACTCGAGAAGGTTTTGCTCAATGACTGTCTAATTTTTTTGGTTTTGCCATGTGAAAAGCTCTCAGATATAAATGTAGTAATAAATGAGTAGGGAAGTCAGTCACAAGAGAAAACTGCATAGTTTGTATCCTGAAAGCAACTTTGTTTTATGAAAGTTCTCCCAGAAGTCAGTAGTGTGACATACTGCACCATCTCCTCATTTAAAAGCCTAAGCATGGGAACAGACACATCTTAAGAAGTATAAAGTAGTTTTCCCAGCAGCTTTCTAAAGACACTCACGTGGTGGGCCTGCTCATCTTGATCCCCATAGAGGGTGTGACCTTGTAGAGGCTCTGAATTAAGGTGTTGGCAACGTCGTGGTTGCGCCGTGTGTGGATTAACAGCCAGTTGTCCATGGGCACAGCACGGATTAAGGGAACTCCCCTGGTCTCCTTTGTCCAGTCAGCAAACTGAGGGTTGTAATCAACCTGTGAAAAGATGGTAAAGAAAGAAAATCAACACCCTACCAGACAAGCTATACCACAACTACTTCCTGATACACTTCAAGAACAGACTGTAACACTTCTGCCTAAAACAGAGCCTCCTTTTTACCTGTCCCTTTACTGCCATTGTCAGTAATTTAACATAAGCTTCATCCAGCCCTTTAAAGAAATCACACTCTTGAAATAATTCATTCCTAATTATGCAAACATACTTCTGTTTTTTTAGCCCAGATTAAGCTGTTACTATTTGCTGCACAGACTCTGGTATAAAGACATAGCTTTTGATGCAGACTTCTTTTTCTCCCATTTTTCTTTTTAATAGGGTAACTGCTCAAGAAAAAGAAAAGTATTATTATAAAGGAAACAACACATCTTTTAAATAGCAAGAATTAAAAGGGCTTTACAAATACAGTATCTGGATCTGTACAGCTGTGCAAAGTGCCCTTTTCCATCCAGCAGCCATTCAAAACAAAAATCTCCAGTACAGAGCAAATATCTAAGGTTTTATGACAATCTATGGTTTAATTCAAATTTAGATTATTCATATTGGTCACCCTACCTTTAAGTGTTCTATCTACTGAACTAATTAGTGGCTTTTCATCTGAAAGCCTTGATACATTTTTAATAAATGGAAACTAGTTAGAAACATCTCTAGTCTCCTACTTTGTGTACCTGAAAAGACTTTTTTTGGACAGAGGGATCGTTTTGCAAGGAAGACACTACTCTAATGTAGTGCTTTCAAGAGTTTCTAAATAGAACTTGTAAACAGTTTAAGAAGTTTGCAAGTCTTCTGCTTGGACAAAGATTTGTGTGTAATGTTTTCACTCATTATCCCCCATTTATAAATCAAAAAGTACTACTTCCTTCCTTAAGGACTTGTTTCATCAGTGAGAGACCCAGAAGATTTTGGAAGTTGATTTATTACTTACCATGTTTCCTGATTGAAAGATCTTTTCTCCTTGAACAACTCTTCCCGTAAAGGTCACTGATTTATAATCAAAGCTTAAACCCCAGTTTCCAAGTTCCTTCTGAACATTGTCATCTCTGTTTAAAAACAAGATTTAAACAAAAAACATAAGAAATTTGTTCTTGCTGACTTCTTTTAAAAAACAGTAAGATTTCTAAAGTTTTGCTGCAAGAAAGAAGTTGATACAAATCTTTCATGCCACAGAAGTACAGAAGATGTTGAGGTGGCATACTTTTGGATGTAGTTCAGAAGTCTCCCAACTTCCCACTGCCTTTGCTCAGGTGGCAGCCGGGTGTGAGTCGCCAAGTCCTTCATCATGTTGAAGTCAGTTCGCATCTTCTCCGTTAATCCTGGCAACAGCAAAAGCTTTTGCTGAGTCAAAGTTAAGACTAAGGACTATGGAAATTCAAATTCCAAGCCATACAGATTGATGGTGCATGTACTGCAGGCACAGAAAGTGGTGGCAGTATTAGTCAAGGTTTTTAGTTGCTCTCTGTGCATACATTCCCATCTGCACAGCAAAAAAATTCTGGATTTTTGTGCTTGAGAGGAAACCACACAAGGAATGCAAAATGAAGACCACACAAGGTCTTTTCTTTACATTTCCAAATCAAAACAAAACAGTGCTGAGATGGACAGGTACTGCTAGTGCAAAGTGAGTATCTCAGAGCAATATACATATTTACAGATCTTACAAAATTATCCATTTCTAATAAACTTCTCTTTTTCAACAGAAATTCTACCACCAAAAGTCTCTACAAGTTATCAGTGTGCCAATGTTGAACACTGTACCTGCAGACTATGCAACATCAAAACCCCTCCAACTTTTCAGCCTTGTTTAAAATCTTTTAGCTACAAAACTTGTTTCTAAAAACTCACATTTATAAGTAACAAGACATTTCTACTGAACAAAAGGCTGCTGTCAAAACACCCATTTCAGTAGGCATTATGGTTTGACAAATGCTTTAATATGAAAAAATACTACAGTACCTGTTAGAGAGCACAGCTCTGGAATTAGAACCACAGTTCCTTCCACATTTCTACTCTTCTTCAGCTGACTGATCAAGACAGGCTGCTTTGGATCACCAATGTCTATATTATATTGCTGTGTTAGAAATATATATTCCATGTTAGTTTACTCATAACAAAGCTTTAGCTTTCCTAACCTCATTTCTGCATGCTGTGACAATGCATCTGTGTTCCTCCCATATTACCTGTCCCTGCTGCCACCTTCCATATGCTTCCTTTTTGAGTTTTCCCAAGAGCTCCTTGCTCATCCACACAACCCTTCTGACATTTTTGCCTGACTGACTCCTCCCTGGGATGGAGGACTCCCACCAAACCATACTGGGTAGGTTATTTACTGATCTCAAGTTACATAGCATCCATTAAACATAACATTCTATTAGAAATATTATTAATTACAAATCCATGCATCATAAGCAAACCTGTAACAATGCTCCAAGTCACAGCACAACACACACAGCTAAGCTTCCATACCTTTTTGTAGTACTCCAGGAAAGTGATCTCAGCACCATCTGATTTTCTAAAGGTAGCCATTGGATTGCTATCCCAGTTGATGTCATCAATTCTGTATGTTCTGTTATTGTACCTACATAAACATTTAATTAGGTTTTGTTTAAATCTCAAATAGGAAAGAAATACAACTGTGAGACAAAAAAGTTAATCACAATACTCATGTAAGTTGAAAGTTTTTCTCTTATCAGAAGCAGTAACTTCAAGTTTTCAACTGTAAGAGGTTCTCAATTCTACCAAAAACTGAGCTGTAATAAACCCAAGAAAACATAACTAACCCAGTATGTACTTTCTGCTTTTTTAAATGCTGTCACCTTGATTAATTTGCCTGCTTGACAATGACAGCATTTGCATGCTTTCTGATGCTTCACTGTGTACTTCAGGATGTGGAGCATAGAGAGATTTAAGACAACAAGAGCCCACAGAGACTTACCTTGTGAGAACAATTAAACCAATCAGCTCTTTAGCACAGGCATCTCTAAACCTTTCCTCTCCAACCTGGGAATGAAGGCTGTGCATAACATCCAACACTGTCTCACCACGAAGAACCTTATGGCTCACATCTGCACACAACATAATGCTCTCCTCATACTGGAGGATGGAACTTGAGAAGCCTGGCCACACCATCAACCTGTCAAAGGAGAACATACACAATCTCAACATCTTAGAGCATCTTTATTCTCACCCCTTATTTCTGTCCACTTTCATGGACATCAGAAAGCGGTGAAGACACCAAGAAACCATTATTCAAATATAAACAAGCTCTTAAAAGTTAACAAAATGAAAAATATTTTACATGTAGCTATCTTTAATCAGCTCAAAATAAGATTAATTGAGCAGCTATAACTGAAGTGAAAGCAAGGATGCCTCAAAAGTTAAGAAATTTAATTCATGCTATTAAATATCTCACAGACAAAGTGTGTAGATATTTAAGACACTTTTAAGAGAAAAAGATCAGCAGTTTATGTAGTAGAACACTGTCCAGTTTCTTCCACCAAATGGGATCTTACACATACACGCAACTAAGTCAGGAAAATGAGATTTTATGCTTCCCAGGAATACCTGTTTTTATGGGCATGGTTTTATTACAAGATAAATCCCCAAATATCAACCCCTCTCCCAGCACCCCTCCTGAACCTAAGTATTTTTGCCACACCTGTGATTAGGGATGCTGACTGGATCCCCAGGGTTGTAATAATTACGGCCAATCTGCTGCAAATTGAGCATCTTCAAAAGCCTAGGAAAGTTGAAATATGGATGTCATTTAGCATTACTATTATTCAGTTTATCACACCATGCATGATCCCATTCCTCTACATAACCTCATTTTTTTATTCATCTGACTAGATAAAACACGAACTTTTTAAATTGAGTTTAATGAAAAGGTCATGGACACTTATTAATGACAGTCAGGTGAGGTAAATTCAAATACAACCCAACCCTTCTCCAACCAGTTGAAGGTAACAGTCCAAACAAGCTACATCTCAGATGAACCAGACAGTCCAGGTACCACAGTAAAGTGGAAATACTACAGCCAAAAAAAGTCATTTGCCAGTTCAAGGTCCTGCTCTATTATTTGCTTTAAGAGGCAAACCCACAGACACAAAAAGAGAGTAGGGATAGGAATATCTGCCTACAACAGTCAGCATTCCAGTGTGAATCTGCTTGCTCAGGAAAAAGGTATAACCTCATTTCACACTAACATGAGCCAGAAATACACACATAATGCACGTTAAAATATTGCCAGATGTGGTTGGCCACAAAGTAACAATAGCCAGAAAGGCTTAAAAACTAACATTTGCAATACTTATTTACTAAAATCTATTCTTTGAAATGGAAAACCTTTACTCATGTATTTTCAGAAAGACTTCTTATAAGAACGTAATTGGTACAGCAAACCTTCTAAAAATGATGTTGTAAAAATGCAGACATGTAGGTGAAGTAGGTGGCAACTCATTAGTCAAAGTGATTGTTATCTTCACATCCTCCCCATTTCGAGTCCTACTAAACAGTTCAGTAACCTGAGAAAGGGAAATGAGGTTAATAAAACTAGAGGCAAACAGGGCTGTATCTGGACTTTGCTCCAGTAATATCAAACTGGACTTGTACACTGAGATTCTGTGCAATAATTCAAGACTAATTGAAAAAGGAATGTGATTTTCTACTAGGACTGTAAATTACAACCTGATTTGGGTGAAGGTGACTAACAGTAGAATGGAGACTATCCCCAGAGCAGCTGAATTCAAGATGAAGATAAGGAGATCACTTACCAATTACCATGACAGGAAAAAGACTCAACTTGAGGAAATAAACTTAATATATTGCCAACTAACATACATTTAATTACTGATTCAGGTACTGGGAGGCAAAAAGACAAAAGATTAGAACACACAGTGAAAACATCTTCCTCCTCTCCCTTTCCCAAACTCAGCTTCACTCTGGACTCCCGTGTTCCCTCTGAACACCACTGGCTACACTCAGTCCCTCCAGTGAGGCAGTGAGTGGCACAAGGGGCAGGGGTCAGCAGCAGTAATAGTGTTTTCCCTTTGCTGCTCCTTTCTCCTTAGATTTTTCTTCTGCTTTGATGTTTTTCCCTTCTTTTTAAATACACAGAGGTGCCACCAGCTTTGCTGGTGGGTTCAGCTTTGGTCTGTGATGGGTCCATTCTGAAGCTGGCAGAAAATGACTGTGTACAACACAGGACAGCCTGACCCTTCCCAAGGGAGCCACCCCAGACCCCCCCACTACCAAAATCCTGCCATAACCACCCTTTTGATTATGTTGAATGTTAATTTACAGAAGTTATGAGAAGAATTAAGTAGAAAGACAACTACAGGAGAAATACTGTCTGTACTACCCACTTCTGTGCAGAGGGTTATTCTAACCTGCAGAACCTAAGCATTAGAACCAGAAATTTATTACCAAATTTCTCTACACGAGCAAATTAGCTCATACTAATACACTCAATCCAACTAAACATTACTTGTGGGACATCAATTCCCTAACTTCACCCCGGCTAGTAAGGAACAAGAAGCATCATAAAACGCGAGTCAGACTAAAAAACTAAACCAGCATGCTCATATCATACCTTATTGCGTAGTTTTTGTGGCAAGAACAATATTGAGCCATCGAAGGCGTGGGTCCTGCCAATGTGCTCTTCGTGCTGGAAGAGCAGAGCGGAGCGAAGGCGGCGCGATTCCATCTCCGGGCTGTAGCCAACGTGGTACTGGTACAGAGCCCACTGGGGTCGAGACGTCATACGATAGTGATTGGAAGTTAATTTTATCATTCTACCTGACATACCTAAAACCAGAGGCAAACATCTTAGCAGTCACAACATTTTACTGGTTTATATTCATACAACAGCTCTCAGAGGTTTTTAAAAACTGTGGCGTTCAGACAAAGATTAGAGGTCGGCTGTGCATCTGTCCAAGCTCGGTGAGCTATGGCACGGTGTTATGAGACATTCATCTGCTCATCAGAGCTTTCTGTAACTCCTTCAGCTGGCAGGAACACTCCCACATCACATGAGGTAAGCATTTAGATCAGCAACCTGCACACAGATGTAAAGGGAAAACAGCAGGCCAGCACTACAGCTGCCTACAAAGGACAGAGATCCATCGACCAGCAGCATAGCTCTAGACAGAATAACTCCGAATGAGAACAACTACACTGCTCCTGGCCCAAAGTGACTTGAGCAGAACTAAGCCCTGTCATTCCTGGGCCTGTGCCATGCTCCAGTCATCACTCAATTAAGCAAAAGTGGACTACAGTCATTGCTGTATGGTGTGATGTCTCATACTTGCAATATAAAACCATCATCAGCATAGAACCGGCAGTGTGGAGCATTAAAAGGATGAAGGGATTGCATTCTAGCAGGCATACAGGACCATCATGACAGTCTGCTATACTTGTCATAAGCATGATTTCAACTCCAGAAAAGAAGCATGTCACCTTTTCTTTAAACTAAAAAGTTTCTCAAGAAGAGATTTCAAATTCCACATTTATTTAGCGACCTTTATCAAGTTGGTTAGTGAATGGGTTACAAGAGCAACTTTTATCTTTTTCTAGTACATAGTAAAGGTTTTTGTTGTTTTGTTTTTTTTTAACTCAGCTCTCTAGTGGAAACTAAAAGCAGAAGAAAACTATTTTTCATTTCAACTTGCTTATGTGCCTATAGTCTAAACATACCAGTTTTTGATTCTTGCACATGCACCATGGTTTGTCGAGTATTGACCCCCAGGTCATGGTAATCCCTCCGACGTCCACCCCTCTCTCGTAAACACAAATCCTGGAGTCCCGAGGAAACCCGTAATCCTAGGGGTTTGAAATTTGAGGATCAGAATCAAGTAATAGATATATTATAGATATTATTCTTTATTACACAAATTAGAATTAAATACAATTCAAATTTTGAAAGGCACACATATAAATTTAAGAGAAATCATGAAATGCTAGTTTTCAGCTTTTGCTATGTAGCAAACATCTTAAAACAAAATTCAAAGAACACATAGTAACTTCTGAAAATATATGGACAGGTAACTAGTAAGCAAATAGAACAGTTCACAACAGGATGACAAAAAAACCCCAGATGTCAATCCTCCAAATCAACAATCTCTTCTGCAAATACAGGGAGGACAGGTCTCTTTCCTTTTATCTCCAGCTGCCACCAAATGTAAATACACTGTGATGTGAAACAGGCAAGAAAGTTTAATTTCCTTATTAAGATTCAAGAAAGTAATGAAGTATCAAAACAAAATTTACTGTTGGTACTCATGTAGTTAATTGTGTCAACTATTTTGACAGAGGACATGGTACACATGAGGTACTTCTCAAAATTCCTCGTTCAGTTAGAGTGACAATACCATCACCACAAGGTATGTATCGTGAACTTCTCCAAATCTTAGTAATAAATCTCATTTTGAAAATAAAAAGAAACAGTCTAAAGAATGTCTTAATCGCATTCTCTTCAAAACACAAGCTCTTGTGGGCAATGAACTTTTTTCTCCCTGTCTGACCTTCTGGCCTTCTCTCCTGCCGAACGCTCTCAAAGCCCCTCAGTCGTCCGTGGCCTCCGGGTTCTCCCGATGGGTTTGAAGGAACATCGACCCGCTGGGGCTGCCGACCCTCACCCAGCTGACCTGGCAGATCCAGTGCGACCTGCCATGGGTGGGAACAACTTTTTCTACTGCAACTGAAAAAACACCATACTTCCAAGAGTACAGCAGAACGTTCACCAAGTAGAGAATACTCAAATACCCAAGTGTAAGAGTTCCAGAAGATTAAATCTTTTTTTCCTGTATTAAGTAGCAGTTATTACTCTAACTCAAAAATACTGAAGTTCAGGATTTTTTTCCTAAGTTAATATTCATTTAACTAACAGTCAGTATAAATCTTTCCAAGCTCTAATTAAAATTCATGGACTTCTCATTTCAGATCAGTAGCTAAGCAGGTCTCCTTGCTCTTACACTCTCCATCTTGTAAGATCTGTCAAACGTACACCCTCTAAGAAGTCTGTAAATACCTATAAGCACTACTGCAAAGATCCAATGTGCAACAACCCTGCAAAGTATACCTGAAAGTTATCAGAGCCCAGTGCTACCACAGTCACAGCATATTACAAAGTTCTGTGCTCCCTATATATAGTATTCATAAAAGTAGTTCAGCAAAGTTCTCTACTTTGCTTCTCTCACCTATACTCCATCCTCGCCTCTGAAGGAAGGGGCAATGCCATCTACGTGGATTCTCTAGTCCAACAGCTGAACACTGAGCCCCTGAGCTGACTGTATTCCTTTCCCATCCACAAAAGGATCTGAGCAGAGCTCCATGTCTGGTGTATTATGATGTCTCTGTATCAGACCAGTGTAAAAATCACATGCTGTTGTTCACTTCTTGTTCCCATCTTTCCCTGCCATCCAGAGTGTGTTCTCTCTTAGGCTGAGATACAGTGCATGCCTAAGCCCTCACTTTCCAAACATTTAATATAAACCCTCTTATGCATTCCACAACCTCTTTTCAACATATCTTTGGAAACACTTCTGGAACTAACCCTCTTGGAGACAGATACACACAGTCTACATGACAGAAGAGTGGCAGTCTGTATAGAAATAGAATGCCAAAACAGACTTTTCTCCACTCAGAATTCATCAGCATTCAAAGTCCATATAAAGTATTTAACCCCTACCTTTTCTATTACTTTCCTCTTCACTAAGAACAGGACACTGATACCACTCCCTGACTTCTGTTAACAGTTCTGTGCAAGTCAAAGAGGCCAAATTTGAAGCAGTCAGGTCTCTTAGGTTTATAAATTCTGTTCCAGGGCCAAGAGGTGCATCAGTGCTACTGCTAATGCACAACAGATTTCACTGTTTGAGAAACAGAACTGTTAATTACCTTCTATCACTATTTAATCTCATCTGACACTGGCAAGAAAATTACTAGGAGCACTCCTCCAGTCTGCCCATGTGCTCAAATGAAAGATGATCACTGATAACTGATAAATTTAAGGAGCTGCTTTAAAAAAATCTCCAGGTATGTGGCCATGGCTGCAAACACAGAAGTATCAGCCATTTCCAAGTTACAGTTTGATCAGTGCCTGCAAGTGCAAGACAAGCCCTAAATACCAGCTCCAATGCATAAATTCCTCGATATTGAAATTAAAACCAAGAAGAATAGGTCAGAACACCTGCCAGACCCAGGTTCTGCCCAAATATGAATCAATAGCAGCAGCAGCCTGCTGCTTCTCTGCAGGGTAGCACAGAGGACAAAGCAGGCTGTGAAAATATCTATCTATTTCCCCCAGCTCTATTATATATATATATATTTAACTATATATTAAATAGTTTGTAAGGACACCAGAATATCCTTAATAAAATGGAGTTATATTAACTATACATCTAACATAATATATACATACACACATACAATATCTAACACATGCCTGGTAAATAGCTGAGGTATGACAATCCCCATTACACTCACTTAAAAGAAAACCAACTCACAGATGGATCTCCTGCCATAGGTCCAGCAGCCTCCTGTCTGGGAGGTCTTCCCCTGGCTCTCGCTCGGGCTCTTCCCGTCATCTTCTAAAACAAACAACTTACACCGTTAGTGCTCCATTGCCTCCTTCCCCATCCTTATCCCGACAAATATTACGAGCAGCACCCCACTGCATTTGCCGCGCTTTAATTTCAGTTAACTCAGTAAAACGCACCCCTCTTGGAAACATTTTTGGATCTCCGCACTAACAGAGCCATGACGGGGAGCGTGGGGAAGCTTTACAGGCAGGTTTGCACTGACTGGCACAGGCCAGCACGAATCCTGAGGCTGGTAAGTCAATTAGAACGGAGAGCACGGCAGGACCTGCAGCCTCAGCCAAGCGTAACTCAAAGCCTTCTAATGTTACTTTCGAGTCTCTCAATTCAGCCTGATTTGTTACACCAGGAGCAGCTTCACCCAGAGCACGTGCCAGCGTTTACCGGCCTGGTCACTGGCCGCCCCAACCCGAAACCTGCCCATCCTCTGCCCTCACCGCCGCTCTTCCCGGCCCCACCACCCCTGGCCCGCTCGGACCATCCTTAGTGGCCACAATCCGGCACACAGAGCCTCCAGCCCCGCCCGGTCCCTTTGGCGTTCACCTTCCCTGCCCTCCAGCTGCAAGAAGACTCGTGCTCCTTACGCAGCGGCAAAGACGGGCCGTCGTAGGATTTAGTACCTCCGAAGGCCCACACCCCTGGGGCTCCCGCCCGCACGCGCCCCGCCGGCCCGCCGCGGCCCCCGCAAGGATTCCCTCACCGCCGTCGGCCGGAGCGCCGGGCGCCGGACGGGAGGAAATCGCTCTACGGCGCTGATTGGCTGCCGGAGGCCCTGAGCGCGGCCGAATGAGCGCGCCCCCGAAGAGAGCCGAAGGGAGTCGAACGAAGACGAAGAGAGCCGAAATGAGCCGAAGAGAGCCGAAAGAGGCCGAAAGCAGCCGAAAGGAGCCGAAGGGCAACGCATTTCCCGCTCTGGCGGCGCCCCCCCCGGCGCTCGCGCTGCCCCTGCGGGCGGGGAGCGGCCATGGCGCTGCCCCTCATGGCCGAGTTCTGCTCGTGTGGGGCTCGGGGTGTCCCCTCCGTCCCTTCCTGCTGAGTGTCACCTGTGCGAGAGGAGAACGTTCCCGCTAAAAGGCGATTTACTCCTCGCCCCGCTTGTTGCTTGAAAAATAAGCTGCAGTTAACCAGGAGGTGGAGCAATAAAGCAAGAAATAAAACTCTTGATGTTGTTTCTGGTGAAGAGCTGCATCGCTCAGCACCGTTACAGCCATGGTTCAGTACGTGTTTAAGCCATGACTTTAAACTAGCACATCTTACGACTTGGAAGTCAGTGGCCTGAAGTGGGAATTCACTCTCTAGCCAGCTTTTCCACGCTCCTGTGGAAAGGCAGGATGTCTAGACGGCACCAAGGCTCAAATTCACCATTTCTGTTGTTTTTAGTGTGCCTTTGCTCAAAGTTTAGGTGTCTGTGACGTGTTTGGAGACTTCAAGGGACAAGAGATAACATTACCTAATTAAATACTTACCATTATGAAAGACCACTCTGATCCTATGGGGTCATTTACAATTTGCTAGAGAGTGAATTCCCACTTCAGGCCGCTGACTTCCAAGCCGTAAGATTTTCTACTTCTGTTGTGAAGTCCAAAATACGAGTTATGATTTCTTGTAACAATCACAGCAATTGGATCTGCAGTGCACAAGGTTTCTTTTCCTCCTTGCCTGTTATTCCAGGTAGAAGTGGTTAACGCTGTTAATATCAATACTAAAATAATACGAATATCTCTTTTTATTTGATTCATATTGTCAGTTTGTCCACAAAGCCAGCTTTGCTGTGCTTACTATGTCAGTGCAGCAGCCCACTTAGAAAACCAAGTGAAAAAGAAGAGTTTTCAAACTGTGAAAGTGTGGATGTTGCTACTTAAAGTACTTTTAGCATGCAATTTTTATTATTCACATATAAATCCGGATAAATATTTAACGCACTCAATACATACACTTAGATGGGGCATGTTCAGTGCTTTTAAGAGCAGTGATTACTCCTTGCCATGGGCTCTTCACCCACAGTGCCAACTTTTATTGCTCTGTAGCCTGCAGAATTCTCCAGTAGGTCAGAGGGTTAAAGCTGCAGAAACATAATATGCAGATTTTCTTGGCTCAGCAGTATTTAAAGATAAACAGAATATAAAGATGTTGTCAAAGTCATTTATGTTATGTAAATCATGAGAAAGCAGAATGTGTGTGTTGGAAAGAGTTATGTTTGTTTATTCATTTAAAATATCTGTCGTGCTTAGTGTTTATTTTTTTTATGCCAAATTCCTTACATTTCACTGCAGAACTTAATTATCTTTAGATGGGAGTTGTTAAAAGTACTTAATCAGGCTGGCTACCTACAGCAATTCCTTATAAAATGAAAATAAACATCAACAATAAGCACCCTAATTTTTATACGTGGGTTGTCAGACAGTTAATTAGTACTTAGCAAAAGATAAGTTCCAATTTGGTTTTCGCAGTCTTTCAGACTTGCCTTTCTTTTGGCAATTCAATCCAGTTAAAACTGGCTGTGCAGGTATCTTTAATGGATTTTCATAGTCAGAGGAAACATGGAAAAGGCAACAGGTACATCATGTCCTTAGCCCAGGCCGGTTCGCAGAAACACCGAGAAAAACAAGATTTTGAAAATGGCAACTGCTTGCCTTTTCATTTTTGTGCTGCCAAAAAACCCTCCCAAAGCTGGACTCGAACACGCCGAAATATCACATACGAAATATTTTTTTTCACAGCTACTTGGCTTGAACTCTGCTTTGATGTTTGCTTTACCCGTGATGCAATTGTTTTTGCCTTCTGTCTCCTGTTGCTACAATAAGCCATTTCCCATACATGTCATCTCCAAAGGGGAAAAGACCGCATGGAAACAGAACAAAGAAAACAGAACAAAAGAAAATCAGGGATTTTTCCAAAGGCCCATTTGATGTACAAGTATAAACAGGAAAAAGATGCCTGAGGAGGTAGGAGCCAGGAACTGTACCAGCAGACAGCTGTTAACTCGTGTAGTTAGCAGCACTTTGGGATTCTGAATGGTAAACAAATAAGTGACTCCAATGCACATAGTGAAGAAAATACTCACTTCACTACCTTTAGTGTAATGTTTAAGTGTATTGCAAACTCCTCACAAAGTTGAACTCTTACCTTCACGTATTTCTTGTAACACCACATCCAGGTATCAATAGCTCTTTTGGTTTTAGCCCCAGAAAAGGAAATTACCTCAAGACAGCAGAATAAAAAGCAATATTTGCTGTGATGAAGCAAGAGAAAATAAGGAACCCTTCAGAACAGAACTCAGCAACTCACATGTGCAGCTAGATTTTTTAAAGCCCAACATGTTGCTCCTGAATCTTATTGAATTATTTGTTAAGAAATTTTCAAATGGGAATTTCTCAAAAATAAGCATTGAAACTCAAGTTCCTCTGGTAGTATTTATGAGTCTGGACCACAATGTTTTTTCATTCTTAATTAGTTTTCTCCTAAAGGGAGAGAGGCAAAGTTTAAAGACTGAGTTAGTATCTGAAATATCATCTCATGAGTTAACAGTCTTGCTTCTTCCCAATGCAAGTTGTTACTGTCCCATTTAATTTACTATAATGATAGTTGCAATAGAGGAACTGATGTGCCT